CAGAGGCAGTGAAACTGAAACTAAAACCAGAACCTGTTAAACTGGACCAAAGACCAGAACTAGTGAAACTGGAACCAGAACCAGAACCAGAACCAGTGAAACTGCCAAAACTGGAACCAGAACCAGAAGCAGTTGAACTGGAGGCAAAACCAGAACCAGTAAGACTGCAATCAAAACCAGAACCAGTGAAATTGGAGCCTGTCAAACTGGAACCAAAACCAGAACCAGTAAAGCTGAAACTAAAACCAGAACCTCTTAAACTGGAGCAAAGACCAGAACCAGTGACACTTAAACCAGAGCCAGTTGAATTGGAGTCAAAACCAGAAGCAGTGAAATTTGAACCAGAACCAGTAAAACTGGAACCAAAACCAGAACCAGAGAAAATGGAACCAAAACCAGACACTGTGAAACTGGATCCAAAATCAAAACCAGTGAAACATAAACCAGAACCAGCGAAGCTTGAACCAAAACCAGTACCAGTAAAATTGGAACCAGAGCCAGTGAAATTGCAACCAAAACCAGAACCAGTGAAATTGGAACTTGTAAAACTGGAACCAGAGCCAGTAAAACTGCAACCAAAACCAGAACCAGTGAAATTGGAGATAAAACCAGAAGCAGTTGAGGTGGAGCAAAAACCAGAACCAGTAAAACTGCAAACAGAACCAGTGAAACTGGAACCAGAACCAGAACCAGTGAAATTACAACCAAAACCAGAACCAGTTGAGGTGGAGCAAAAACCAGAACCAGTAAAACTGCAAACAGAACCAGTGAAACTGGAACCAGAACCAGAACCAGTGAAATTGGAGCCTGTTAAACTGGAACCAAAGCCGGAGCCAGTTAAACTGGAGTCAAAACCAGAACCAGCGAAATTGGAACCAAAACCAGAGCCAGTTGAATTGGAGTCAAAACCAGAACCAGTTAAACTGAAACTAAAACCAGAAACGGTTAAACTGGAGACAAAACCAGCGAAGCTTGAACCAAAACCAGTACCAGTGAAATTGGAACTTGTAAAACTGGAACCAGAGCCAGTGAAATTGCAACCAAAACCAGAGGCAGTTGAACTGGAGCAAAAACCAGAACCTGTTAAACTGGAACCAGAACCAAAACCAGTGAAACTGGAGACAAAACCAGTGAAACCAGAACCAGTGAAATTGGAAGCTGTCAAACTGGAACCAAAACCAGAACCAGTGAAACTGGAACAAAAACCGGAACCAGTGAAACTGGAAAAAAAATTAAAACCAGTGAAACTGGAGACAAAACCAGTGAAACCAGAACCAGTGAAATTGGAAGCTGTCAAACTGGAACCAAAGCCAGAGGCAGTGACACTGAAATTAAAACCAGAACCTGTTAAACTGGAGCAAAAACCAAAACCAGTTGAACTGGAGTCAAAACCAGAACCAGCGAAATTGGAACCAAAGCCGGAGCCAGTTGAATTGGAGTCAAAACCAGAACCAGTAAAGCTGAAACTAAAACCAGAACCAGTCAAACTGGAACCAGAACCAGTTAAACTGGAACCTGTCAAACTGGAACCAAAGCCAGAGGCAGTGAAACTGAAACTAAAACCAGAACCAGTGAAACTGGAACAAAAATCAAAACCAGTGAAACTGGAGACAAAACCAGTGAAACCAGAACCAGTGAAATTGGAAGCTGTCAAACTGGAACCAAAGCCAGCGGCAGTGACACTGAAACTAAAACCAGAACCTGTTAAACTGGAGCAAAAACCAAAACCAGTTGAACTGGAGTCAAAACCAGAACCAGCGAAATTGGAACCAAAGCCGGAGCCAGTTGAATTGGAGTCAAAACCAGAACCAGTCAAACTGGAACCAGAACCAGTTAAACTGGAACCTATCAAACTGGAACCAAAGCCAGAGGCAGTGAAACTGAAACTAAAACCAGAACCAGTAAAACTGGAACAAAAATCAAAACCAGTGAAACTGGAGACAAAACCAGTGAAACCAGAACCAGTGAAATTGGAAGCTGTCAAACTGGAACCAAAGCCAGAGCCAGCGATATTTCAACCAAAACCAGAGGCAGTTGAACTGGAGGCAAAACCAGAACCAGTAAGACTGCAACCAAAACCAGAACCAGTGAAATTGGAGCCTGTCAAACTGGAACCAAAGCCAGAGCCAGCGAAATTGGAACCAAAACCAGAGGCAGTTGAACTGGAGGCAAAACCAGAACCAGTAAGACTGCAACCAAAACCAGAACAAGTGAAATTGGAGTCAGTTAAACTGGAACCAAAACCAGAGGTGGTGAAACTGAAACTTAAACCAGAACCTGTCAAACTGGAGACAAAACCAGCAAAACTTGAGCCCAAACCAGAACCGGTGAAATCAGAAGCTGTCAAACTGGAACCAAAGCCAGTGAAAGTGGAACAAAAACTAGGACCGGTGAAACTTGAATCAAAACAGGAACCAGTGAAACCAATCGAACCAAAACCAACAGCACAACCAGAACTGAGAGCAGAGTCGGTTGAGAGAGAACCGCTCCCCGTGCAGTCGGAGCCCGGAGCAGCGGTCGCCGATCACAGCGATGAGATCCCTGCCATGGGCCCAAGCCCGATAGTGAGCTCGGCCCGCAGGGTGACCCGCAGTGGGGCCGGCAGGGCCAGCAGGGCCGGCATGCCCTTGCTGCAGCTGCGTGGCCTCGCTTCTCCCCGCGACCCGGCAGCCGAGCGACTGATTCGCTCTCCGCCGGCGGGGATGTTGGCGGAGCCGCTCATCCTCGTGGAGCCGCCCTCCCCGCTCCCGCCGGCCTCCGACGAAGACGGCTTCCTCTTCTACCTAAGTCCTGAAGGGGCGGCGGCGGCGGCGGCGGCGGAGGAGGAGGAGGAGGAGGAGGAGAAGGAGGAGGAGGAGGAGAAGGAGTCGGAGGAGGAGGAGAAGGGAGGGCAAGGGAGCACCCTGGACAAACGTCTGGGAGACGGCGTAAATGAGGGGGGGACAGACGTGGCATTGACGCCGGCGAAGGAGATGCACGCAACAGGAATATCGCTACGGTTCGACAAGCGCATCTATGTCTTCAAGATGACAGGGACGGGAGTAGGAGACATTGCTGAATCGATGGAGGTAGAGGAGAAGGAGGCTGAGTCGCTAAGTGGCGACACTCGGGATGAGAGGGAGACGGAGACACCAGAAATTGTTGAGGAATCCACTCGAGAATTGACGCCACTCGAGGAGAAATCTGAAACTGCGCAGGGAGTCTCCACGGATGAGTTAACGTCGCAGGATGCCACGTTCCATGATGCGACATCTCGCGACACAAGCTCACAGTACGTCACCTCTCTCGACGTGACCCCTCTCGACGTGACCCCTCTCGACGTGACCCCTCTCGACGTGACCCCTCTCGACGTGACCCCTCTCAATGTGACCTCTCTTGACGTGACCCCTCTCAATGTGACCTCTCTGGACGTGACCTCTCTCGACGTGACCTCTCTCGATGTGACCTCTCTTGACGTGACCTCTCTCGACGTGACCTCTCTCGATTTGACCTGCCACGAAGTGACCTCCAGGGAAAGCGAGAGCAGCGATTACTATGACGTTGCCGAGGAGATGGGGTCGACGGATGAATCTGTCTCGGACAGCAGCTGGGGAGGAGGCACGGGGACTGTCGCTACGACGACGGCAACGACGATGGCTAAGACGACGACGACGACCGAAGAGAAAGAGAAGAAGAAAAAGAAAAAGAGGACGAAGGTGTTGGTGAGGAAGACCACGAGCACCGCCAGCACGAGCACCACGACGATGAGATTGGACGTGCGCAAGGAGACGACGCAAACGCAGACCGAGTGGGAGGACGTGCGGCGCGGTGCAGCAGCGTGCAACGGCACCGCGGCCAGTAGCGGGCCGCAACCCGAGGAACCAGCGTGGAGACGGGGCCACGAAGAGACGCCGGAGGGCACGGCGAGCGAAGACACCAGAGAGGTCGAGGAGTCCGGGACGGTGGCGGGCTTTGAGATGATTCTCCCGGAGGAGGCCGATGATGCGACAGCGCGCGGCAAGGAGATGAGGATTCGGAAGCCCAGAGAGGCAGTGGAGGTTGTGACGATAGTGCCAGGGGAGGTACGGGAGACACCGAAGGTGAGTACGACTGGGCCAGACGACGAGGAGGCGGCCATTGAGCTGCCGAGCGAGGTGGTGTTTGTCCTGCGGAGGCGATACACGCGACTCATCCGACTGTTGCGCCGAACGGTCACACGGACAAAAACCACGACCATCACCATCGTGACACTGCTGTACCTCCTGGAAACAGGTAACCTCCTCAATGTTGGCACCAGTGGGCGCGAGTCTGAGAGCGAGAGAGCGAAGCCACAGCAACACTCACCACATGGGGAACCACAACTCACGAAGGGACTCCCCCACATCACTCCATTGCGATGAGAGTGAATGGGACCCCGAATCGTTCCATCGTGGTAACCCGGTTCACTCCATTGCAATGAGAGTGAATGGGACTCCGCATCAATCCATCACTATGAGAGTGAATGGGACCCCGAAATACTTCATCACTCTATCGTGGGAAGTGCATCACTCCATCACTGTGGAGGTTGCGTGCTTGTGTGTAGAGACTGTTTATGCATATGTGGAAGCTGTGCGTGGGTGGAAGCTGTGGTGTGTGCATGTGTGAGGACAGTGCGTGTGTGTGGAAGCTGTAGTGTGTGCATGTGTGAGGACAGTGCGTGTGTGTGGAGGCTGTGTGTTTATGCAGGCGGTGTGTGTGTGGAGGTTGTGTGTGTGTGTTGTTGAGGATGTGCGTGTGTAGAGGCTGTGCGTGTGCGCCTGATGGAGTCTGTGTGAGTGTGGAGGCTGTGTGTGGGTGTATGGACGCTGTGCACGTGTGTGCAGTCTGCGTGTGTGTGGTGGCTGTGTGGGTATAGAGACTGTGACCACCCGTGACCACCCGTGACTGACTGTCCATGACTGCCTGTGACTGACTGCCCGTGACAGCACGTTACTGACTGCCAGTGACTGGCCATGGCCGCCGTGTCGTCCGTGTGGCCGTAGACTCAGACGTTGACGAGATGCTGCGAGGAGACCTGCACCTCGCCCTCGTCGCAGAGAAGCTCGACTCGGCCTGGCCTGGTGAGCGCACAACAACCGCCATTCGCCATTTTGTCGCGGTGACGTCACCACAGCGCTTGTCAGGCCAGGTACACTCCTGTCGCTGATAGGTCAAAGGACAGACCCAGTTGCCAAGAGTTGACTGAGATGACTGGCAGATACACCACCCGTGCCCCCTACTGTCCCAACTTTTAGCCGCCCGGTCCTCCGCTCATCGTGGTAAGCAACGCCCTTCTGCCCTCCGTTGTTGTTTGAGGGCAACTGCCTCCAACTGTCCAGTAGCGTCTTTCTTGACCCTCTTACTTAGAGGCCGATCTTGACACCACTGGTATTAGTCTTCGGCAAATCCACTCGGCTCCACATTCTTCTGTACCGCATCAGGCCATGTCTTCTCCATCCCACGCCACGTCCATTTACCCCCTCTATCTGGCCAAACAGAAGCTGCTTGGGCATGCAGTGGCTGAGAATGCAGGTTACATGACCCAGCCAATGCAGCCTTGCCTGCCAGAGGGGCTCACTGATAGGAATGTCTTCAGATCTTTCAAGGATGTGTGAGTTCCTTCTACAATCCAGCCTGGTTAAATGCAGGATATATTGTAGGCAGGCCAGCCTGAAAGTCTTAAACTAGTACAGATGTTCCACTAGAGGACATGATTCGCAAGCAAAAATAAGGGAGGGCATGACTGGCCGAGAAGACCTGAAGCTTCGTTTGGAGCGACAGACCAGGTAGCTTCCGCACAGCGTTACGCAGCTGATGAAAAGATTATGCCACTTGGCTAATTTGGAGGGAGACCTCTGCTATCAACCGAGGCTTGTCATAAGCACACTACCAAGGTTAAAAAACCTCTCCACTCATCACTCATAGCGAGTTGAAGGGGTGGAATATTGGATTATACTGGTAGGAACGAAGTGAACCAGCCTACAATAGATTATATCGTCCGTCCGTCCGTCTGATTTCCGATTAGGTGTAGCAACATCGCCCCCTACTGCAAACACTTGGCAGGACCCTACAAAAACCTTTAGACTCAGTGAGGCTTTCCTGGCTAAACAAGTGTAACATTCCCTTATAATTCCCTGAGATAGTTTTTTAATTCCCTGAGATAGTTTTTTATTAAAACATTTAAATTAAAAATTAACTCATTCCCTGAGATAGTTTTTAATTAAAACATTTAAATTAAAAATTGACTCACAGCGGCCTAAAGCCTACAGCTAGGCCTAAAGCCTAGAACTAGGCCTCAAACTCTCCCTTCGTATCGTATTTGTTCGTTCCTACCAGCCCACCCCGCAGGGACCTGTTAAAACATACCCAGGCAGGTGCTTAGTTTTGGTGGGGCTGATGGTAAGGCCCCACCTCTTTGCAGCATGCACCAGGTTCAGCAGCAGAACCTGCAACTTCTTCTCAGAGAGAGCAGGAAACACCGGATCATCACCGTAAATAGCATGGTTGACCAGTATGGAGCCATCCTTTTATCATGCCAGGACATCCATCGGCTTCCCATTTTATCTGTTCCAGATAGAAATTCCACTGCTACAGCCATGGAAGGTTTCTCAAACTACTTGGTCGAATTTTTTTTTATGTAGGAGCATCCCTGACACACCCCAAGGTGAATAGGGAATGGCTCTTACTCTTGGCCACGTAGCTTTACCTGGGCCTGCCCACCATCATGAAGGCCCTTATTGATCGTGAACAGAGTCAGGGACTCTGAAAGCATGAAGAACAACCCAGAGCCTTGACCTATTAATAGTATCCATATTTCTCCAGCATAAATACAAATTCTGATTCTGCATCATAGGTCTTGACCAGGTCAATAAAGCAGAGACGTAGGTCCTGTTGGAATTCGCGACAACTCTACCGTAGCAGACGGACAGAGAATATGGCATCTGTGCAGGACCGCCCTGGCTTGAAACGACATTGGAGCTCTGCAAGGCTCTCCTCAGCGTACCTGGCAAGACAATGTGAGGTCCCTTTTCTTAAAGACGGTGACCACCATGGCATCCTTCCAATCTTGCGGAACCCAACCAGTGGTCCAGACTTTAACAATTATGTCATATAGGGCAGTCTGCACACAAATGCCACCTTTCCTCAGCAGTTCACTTTGGAGATCATCTCTGCCCAGCGCTTTTATTGGTCTCAGACTTCATACTTCCTCAACAGATGGCACCTCAGCCAGCCACTTAGAGGGGGTGACTACTTCTTCCAATATTTGAGGCACCACAGCCGCAACAGGGTCATCCCCACTTTGCCCCATTATGTTTTCTGTGCTGAGCAAACCTGCAAACCTGTTCCTGGGGGTCGGAGATCGAATCGCCTTTCATTCCCCGAAGAATGATGATAGGTGTGGCACTCAAAGTTGCTTTTTTGATCGAATTAAAGAGTGATTTGTGATCATGGGTTGCTGAGGAGATGGAATCTGCCTCATAATTGCAGCGCCGCATGGCACTGCGGAGCCTGCAGTAAACCTCATTCTCCGACGTGGGATGCTGTAGATGGTGGGAGTGCACCTATTACGTTTGTTCATCCAACCGGTAACACCTCCTTAGTCAGCCAGCATCACTGAGGAGGTTTGGAAAGTGTACCCAAAAGCAGCCATTGCATCTACGTGAGCCACAGTCCTAACTCTTCGCCCATTTCCCCCCGGCATCAGAAGGGGGATGATACCAACCCCAGCTGCAAGCGATGATGACATTATAACGTGTAACTTTCATCAGCGAACTGAGAACAGACCACTGGGTTTAAATGGGATCCTAGATGGAGACCCACCTCCGGAATGGAAGAATGGCAGGTGCAACTTACAGATGACAAGTCAATGGTCAGTGGGCAAATCAGCTCCACGGTAGGTCCTGGTGTCAAGGACATGAGCCATCATCCACAGTTCCGTCCATATATAGTCCAAAAATTGTTCTTGCTTGGACCCGGCGTGCATCAATGATGTTGTGTGGATGCGCCGATGCCGGAACAGCGTGTTGCTAATTACAAGCCCATGGGCTGCACAAAAGTCTAGCAGCCTCCTACTGTTGTTATTGCTGATCTGGCCCATGCCTTCCAATCACTCCAGCCACTATGGTGGTTATGACCACCATGCGGGGAAAAGCCGATTGAATTGGCCTTCCCCCCCCCCCCTTCCATATAGCATTGCTCACATCCACCACAGCATTACCATCCAGCACCTCCGAGGAGGTAGGGCTTGTTTTTGCCTACTTTCCTGCGTGCATCTGTGTGCGTGTGTGCCTGCGTATGTGCAGCTTTGGCAGAGAAGATGGGGATTTCTCCAGATAAGCTGAAGGAGGCCGTGCAGAAAGCGGAGGAGGTGAGACCGGAACCTCGTGCGTGGGTGAGCGGTGTGGGTGGATGACCAGTGTGTGTGGGTGAGCAGTATGTGTGGGTGATGGTCTGTGTGGGTGAGCAGTGCATGTATGATGGTTTGTGTGGGTGAGCATTGTGTGTGTGGGCGACGGTGTGTAGGCTGTGTGTGGGTTATGACGATGCGTGAGCCCGTGTCCACCCGCCGTGACTTGGTGCTGTGATGGTGATGGCAATGGTGGCTGTGTGGTGCAGGGGGAGGGCGAGGAAGTGGCTGACGAGGTGGAGGAGCTGGGTCTGTCGATGGAGGCACAGAAGGCGTTCTGCCTCCTCAAGCTGTGGGCTCACCGCGAGGGCAACCGGGCCACCGGTGAGCCGGCGGGGATGGTTGCTAGAGGACCATTGATACTGCGCATTGTTACTCGGGAACTACACATCATTAGTAACCACAACATCATCACTTGTCTCTTAACTACACAACAAGAACAGGCAGACCATGTCTCGTTCACATCTCCGTCTCTCCACACAGCAAATAAGAATTTCTTACACATCCCGTAAACTGCACGGCGTTCTGAGAGCGAGGCGTTTCAGCGGCATTGATTCGGTACAAGCAAAGCTCTGCACTGGTTCCGACATTCAGTTTCTCATCAGCAGAGTCGCGCTGCTCGAAATCGACGTTAGCGAACGGCCAAACTGGCAGCAAGGGACATCTCTTCACAATGAGTCCCAGTTGAATACAGATGGTTTGGGGATTATAACGCAGCGATGTATCATCGTGCTTAACTTCACAGTGCCTTTACAGGTGGTGTGCTTCGATTTAAAGCTTTCGTGACTGCAGGATTCATAATCTTACTTCCTTCGGTAAAGTCACGTAGAAGGGAAATAATAAAATAATAATAAAATAAAACCACCACTTTTTTCTAATTTTCTTGCTGTGGTTTTCACACCTGACGATGATTGCTTGCGTTGCGATCGAAACGTCGCGAGAATTTAATAGTTTTATTTTTATTATTTTATTATTTCCCTTCTACGTGACTTTAACGAAAGAACCAAGAAGATGGTATATTGTTAATCAACCAGTAACGTGGTGTGCGGTTACTCATGATCATGATGTGTAGTTGCTAGGCACTCGGTGATGGTACTGCATGGTTGCTAGGCGACCAGTAACAATACGATGCTGTGTAGGGACAAGTAACAATACTATGTGGTTACTAATGATGTGTGGTTGCTTGGAAACCAGTGACGCTATGTGTGGTTACTCGGGGGGGCCAATGATGCTGCACTTGGTTGCTTGGAAACCAGTGAGGATGTGCGGTTGCTATCGATGTGTGTGGTCTCCAGGCACCCAGCTAGAGCGGTACCTGGTTGCCATGAAGAGGCCGGACGTGGCTCAGGTGGCGGCGGTAGGGGGCTCGGCGCCGCCCCCCCCTCACTTCCCCGGGATCCCCCGCAGCACCACGGGCCCCGAGCGCCCCACTCTGGAGCAAACAGGTGACCCCCCCCCCCCCCACTCCGACTCCAACCTCCAGGCTGGGTCGTCCCGTCACATCACACGCGCGGTCCCGCTTGGTTATGAATTCTTATTTATTTTCGTTGCAATTTATCTGAAATATCCGCACGGCCCCCCTGCCCCATGTTTCTCTTTGGTTGACTTTGCGTTTTTTTTTCTTCTCTGCTCATTCCATCTCACGCGTGACTTCACTCCGACGGCTCCCTACCCACTCTCCGCTCTCCGGGCTCCCTCCGCTCTCTCCCCGCTTTCTCTCTCTCCCCCTCCACTCTCCGTTCTCTCCGCGTCTCCATCCCACACTCGCCGTTGCAGCGCACGGCGCGGCCGTCCCTGCCGCCGTCGCCGCCCCCCCCGTGCCGAAGATCCACCTGCACGCCCTCTCCGAGCGATTTGATTTTGGTTGCCATGACGATGACGCGGACGACGAGGGTGACGACGCGGGCGATGTGCCCGTCCCGGCCCACGATGACGGCGACCGTGACGATGACTTCACCGCAAATTTCTCCGATATGTTTGCCAGCGCAATTCCACTGTGCACCACCTCCTCCTCCTCAACCGGCGCGGAGAGCGTTGGATTCCGCAACGTCCGAGACGCACGGCGAGGCCACGCAGAGACCCAGCCGGCGCCATCGTCATCATCGCTAGCATCCACACCACCACCGCCCCCACCACGATCGTCAACGCTGCCATCGCGAATGCCAACGCTGCCATCGCGACCATCGCAATCATCGGCGCTACCTCCGCTGCCACCGTCACGATCGTCGACGCTACCGTCACGATCGTCAGCGCCGCCATCAACGGGATTTTCGTTCACCCCACAGCGTTCGTCACTCCCCTCCGCCTCTCTGCCGCCTCGCATGCCACCCGCCGGTCCGTCACCGCCATCGCCACCCGCCCCCACCGCCACTCCCGCCACGCCGCCTCCTGCACCGATGCCAGATTTCCCGGCGTCGTTCGTGTTCACCAGAACAACGCTCATAACGAACAGGATGCTGACATCACCGCTCGCCACAACAGCCACGCCGCTCGCCACTCAAACCGCACCGCTCGCCACTCAAAACGCACCGCTCGCCACCGCAGCCACATCTCTGCTCGGCGCCTCGGCCGCACCACTCCCGTTCCCTGCCGCGCCGTCGCTGCCCCCTCGCGCTGGCGAGTTGTTTCCTGGGCTGCCGCCGGGGGTGCCCCTGGGAGCGAGGGGGTTCCCCTGCGAAGAGGGATTTTCCCCGGACTCGTTCCCAAACTTCCGCGTCACCACCGTGAAGAGAACGCGGCTCGCCGAGTTCAAGACAGGTGCGGGGGGGGGGGGGGGGACAACGTTGGGGTGCCTGTGCGTGCACCTCGCCTGGCACACGTGCAATGGCATATCGTCATTGTCGGTGGCGATTTGCGGGCTCTTCCCGTTGTTACGATTACGCTCGTTCACCCGGTTCAATTTCAAGTTCATTTATTAGCTATAGCCCTGTGAGCCCTTCGGCTCTTGAATCGGGTGCAACCGCAACAAACAAAAAACAAAAACATGAACAAAAAACATCTTAAAGTGAATGTGACTGAGTGCAAACAGAAAATCCAAGAAAAGACAGCAAAATATTGCAGAAAAAACACCATAAAGAGTCTCAGGAGGAGGGTCCTGCCAGGTTTGTCGCAGTAGCAGCAGCAGGGGAACATGCTGCTGCTGCTGGTCCTGCTTTGTGATCTCGGTGGAGAGATTTACAGGGAATTTGTCAGCAATGGGGACGTGGGTTTGGCCGACACCAGTTCCACGAGGTGTGCGAGTTTAGCTGTGGGAGGTGGAAACTGAAGAACCCGGAGAAAACACACTCGGAACAAGGGGAATACAAACACTTGCTACACTCACGTGCGTGTGGACGCGTGTGTACGCGTGTGTGCGCGTGTACGTGTGTGTACGTGTGCGTACGTGTGCACGCTATGTATGTGCGTGTGTGTACATGTGCGTACGTGTGCGTACGTGTGCACGCTATGTATGTGCGTGTGCGTACGTGTGCGTACGTGTGCACGCTATGTATGTGCGTGTGTGTACGAGCATGTGTGTAAGTGTGCGTATGTTTGTGCGCGCGTGTGTGCGTGTGTGCACGTGTGTGCGTGCGTGGCAGACCCCGAGTGGTCGGAGGAGCGAGTGCGCGCACTCATGGAGCGTCTGGAGAGGGAGACCGACGGCGCTCACGTGAACCTCTCGGCTGAGCAGATACGGGCGGCTCGCCGGTGCGGCACCGCACTCACTCACTCGCTTAACCACCCGCTCGGTCACATGCTCGTTCGCTCGGGGGTCTTTGTAATTTCGTAACCCCCCCCCCCACCCTCCCCACCATGCCCACAGACGAGGTCACGCCGAGTCGCCCCCCTCTTCTGGCGAAACAGCTCAGCGTGGGTTGTCCACCCCGGGAACTCTGGTCGGCTACCTGAAGGAGAGAGCCACGCAGCAGCCCCCCAGTGTCAAAGCACCCTCGAGCGGGGGTCATGAGGAGAGGGGGGGCCCGGGGGGCGAGGAGGTGGAGAGGGAGGAGATGAGGAAGAGAGCGGAGGAGGAGAGGAAGGGGAGGGAGGAGCAGGAGAGGAAGAGGAGGGAGGAGGAGGAGAGTGAGAAGGAGGAGAGGAAGAGGGAGAAGGAGGAGGAACAGAGAAGGGAGATGGTGAAGAAAGAGGAGAGGAAGAGGCAGGAGGAGGAGGAGAGAAAGAGGGAGAAGGAGGAGAGGGAGATGGAAGAGAAGAAAAAAGAGGAGAGGAAAATGGTGGAGGAGGAGAGGAAGAGGCTGGAGGAGGAGATGGAAAGGGAGGAGCAGACAAAGCGGGAGATGAAGAGGGTGGAGGAGGAGATGGAAAGGGTGGAGGAGGAGATGAGAATGGAGGAGCAGAGGAAGAGGGAGGAGGAGATGAAGAGGCTGGAGGAGGAGATGAAGAGGGTGGAGGAGGAGATGAGAGTGGAGGAGCAGAAGAAGAGGGAGATGAAGAGGGTGGAGGAGGAGAGGAAGAAGGAGGAGGAGAGAAAGAGATTGATGAAGAAGAAAGAGGAGGAGCAGAGGAAGAGGGAGGAGCTGAAGAGGGAGAAGGATGAGATGGAAAGGGAGGAGCAGAAGAAGAGGGAGGAGGAGAGGGTGGAAGAGGAGAAGAGGGTAGAGCAGGAGAGGAGGAAGAGGGAGGAGGAGAGGAAGAAAGAAGAGATGAAGAGGATGGAGGAGGAGATGAAGAGGGAGGAGCAGAGGAAGAGGGCAGAGGAGGAAATGAAGAGGGTGGAGGAGGAGATGAAAAGGGAGGAGAGGAAGAGAGAGATGGAGGAGAAGAGGGAGGAGCAGAGGAAGAAAGAAGAGATGAAGAGGTTGGAGGAGGAGGAGAGGAGGAAGAAAGAGGAGATGAAGAGGGTGGAGGAGGAGGAGAGAAAGAGGGTGGAGGAGGAGGAGATGAAGAGGGTGGAAGAGAAGAAAAGGGTGGAGGAGCAGAGGAAGAAGAAAGAAGAGCAGAGGAAGAAAGAAGAGAGGAAGAGGATGGAGGAGGAGAGGAAGAGAGTGGAGGAGGAGATGGAAAGGGAGGAGCAGAGGAAGAGGGTGGAGGAGGAGATGAAGAGAGTGGAGGAGGAGATAAAGAGGGACCAGGAGAGGAAGATGGAGATGAGGAGAGTCCCACCTGCGCCCCTGGCCAGAGAGGAGCCTCGGGGCGACGAGGAGGATGAGGATGAGGAGGGAGCCGGTCAGGGCGAAGAGGGGTCACCGGCTATCGCCGAAGGTCGGCTCGGAGCCATCCCCGAAGAAGTGGAGCCTGTGGAGGGCAACGAGGTGTCGGGAAGAATCCTGTCACGAGGAGGAGTTGAGGTCGTGGAGGAGGAGGATGAGGAGATGAGTCCTGATGAGGGTTCGCCTGTTGAAGAGGTAAGTAATATGTATGTTCAACTCCTTTCGCACCACATGTCGCCCAACTGTCGGAGGTGCAGGGTAAGGACAACAAAGTAAACACAAAAAGTAGCTCGAAAGAAATTAGTTTTCATTTCTTAATATCAGAAGGATAACCATTTTCTTGGTTCTTTCGGTAAAGTCACATAGAAGGTAAATAATTAAATAATAAAAATAAAACATAATAAAATAATTCTCACGACGTTTCGGCCACAACGCAAGCAGCTAGGTCTATTATTTTGTTATTTCCCTTCTACGTGACTTTACCAAAAGAACCAAGAAGATGAATCCCTGCAGTCACGAAAGCTTTAAATCGAAGGATAACCATTCCAGATGGCCGCATCTCAAAGCACGCAATGCAGTGACTGGCTTTGTTCGATTTCTAGCTAAAAGCCGCTGCGAGGATGACCCAGAGTTTGCGTGATGATTTAAGCTCCTTAACAAAATATGAAGGTATCGTGGTTCATTTGTGACGAGCACTGTGTGTAATGAGGGCAAACTTGTAATGTCTTCGTTCAGCAACCGGAAGCCAATGCAGCTGGGCGAGCACCGGATGGACATGCTCGGATCTTGCAATTCCCATCACGACACGAACCAAAGAATTTCATACATGCTCATGTTTTTTGCCAGATGTCCCGTAGAGTAGCGAGTTGCAAAAATCGAGCCTTGTCGATACTCGGCTACACGCCACCATGTTGGTTACATCATGGCTGGTATGAAAATTGCAGGACCCGACTGTATTTTGCGACATATAATTTTATAATATCGTGTTGAGGCTCTTTTTTAGATGAGTAGAAAACTGAATCTTGGAGTCTACAACGGCCACAGCAAATCCTCCAACAAATTGTTTCGCCTGCAGAACCGATTGCTCTCGGTTAAGCAGCATCTCGTTTCGTGCTAAACACACACGCGTGCGATCTTCGCGGTTACCGAGGCTCTCCATATCCAACTTCGGTTTCACTGCAGTGTACAATTGTGCATCATCGGCATATTCATGGGAACTTGATGGAATGCCTTGAGATGAAATCGGCAATTCGAGAGACGTATGTTTTAAAATAGGAAGGTCCAGAGGACGAACAGCTCTGGTACGCCAACTGGGCACGGCATCGGCGATGACTTTTCATCACCCAGCTAGACCAACTGTGATCGGCCATGTCGGTATGACTAAATCCACCCCAGTGCCATCCCCGACACACCGAACCTTGACCATAGCCACTCGATGAATACCTTGTGGTCGACGGTGTCAAAGGAGGCCAACCAACGCTGCGGGTGCTCCGATCATCCATGATTTTGTAGAGGTATTGAGTGATCTTCTTGGTTCTTTCGGTAAAGTCACGTAGAAGGGAAATAATAAAATAATAAAAATAAAACTAAATTAAATACAATTCTCACGACGTTTCGGCCATAACGCAAGCAAGCCGTCCTCAGGCGAAGAACAGGGCTGTCGGAAAGACAGCGTCTGAATGACGATGAATCCCTGCAGTCACGAAAGCTTTCAATCGTATTGAGTGATCTTTAGTAGTGCCATCTCAATGCTGTGGAATTTGCGGTATCCTGACTGCAATGGGTTGAATGCGCCCATCCTAAAAACGTGGGGAAGTAACCACTTCAGACCAAAGCGCTCTGACCCTTGAAATCGTACTCGGGTTTGAGATCGGGAGACAGTTCTGGGGGTCACTGGCTCAAGCCAATTTTTACAGGTAGGAACAACAGGTTCCACACTGCCCACCAGGGATTATTTGTCTGTCTGTCGTGCATACACGGAATTCCGCCCACCCATGCACCTCCCCACCGATCACCGAGCTACGCCGCGATTGGTTGACGATGTCGGGGAGGGTAGTGGGGAAGGGTAAACATGCCCACTCATCCAACTTCCCCCCCCCTGAACGCCACGCTGTCTAACCAAGTTCCTACCTGCCCACTCCGAAGGAACGTGTTTTTTCTAGAGCGGTGTTACCTGCGTCATTTCGAACCGGTCTGGGAAACCGCCCGAGTTGAACAAAATATTGGTGGACAATCAGCGGTGCAAGCAACGTCCGAGCATGATTTGAGAATCCACATGTGGATGTAGTTGAGTGGCGATGTTTTATTTGGCAGCCGTGCGGTGACCATCGACACCTCTGCCACCGACGCTGGTGCCAGCTTCTCGAGTTTTACATCGGTTCCATGTTGATCAAAACTCAAGATGGCAGACCGGGAGAATGCGTTTGCTTAAAGAAACTGCCGTCTTGATCGTCACTATTTTACTGGCGAAGAACGTCGCAAGTCCTGTGCACAGACCGGGTTGACTCGTTGATGGGTGCTTAGAGTGCAGCAGACCCCTTCACGACGCGCCACAAAGCACGGGGGGGTCGCGAGCCGACTCATTGATGTGCAGAGCATAGAACGATCTGCGTTGACTTGAAAATTAGTTGGTTGGCAGATGTACGGGCGGCTCTGTAAGCAAGTCGGACAGTCTTGAGCCTCCTCCAGGTCTGCTTTGCAGCGATCGCCTCCGGTGACAACCAGTTACCGCGCACTTTCCCCATTCTCTTTGTGCTGTTGAGCGTGTGTAGGAGGTGTCACGCGCTCTGGGCAGCCGAGAGACAACGAGCAGCTCCGACGAGGAGGAGCTCGTGACCACGCGCGTCATCAGGCGGCGCGTCATCATCAAGGTGAGGGTGCGCGAGTACTGAGTGTTGGTGGTTGTGGTGGTTTACATCCCCCACCAAAGATGGACATCAGTGGGGAGGGATGCAGGCAAGGCGAATGGGTCTGTTGCCTTTTATAACCTCCTGTTCCAGGTGATGGCTAGCCAAAAGCCTCCGTGAGGGTGAGTGGAGTTTGCATCATGGTTTATGCTCCTTGACGAGATCAGATAGGTATTGTGGTTCATTTGTGGCAAGCACTTCATACTGGTAGGAACCTCCTGGTTACACCAGCCCACAGGGGATTATTGTGTCTGTCCGTCGTGCATCCAAAAATGGGACGGGTGGGGCTGGGTGGAGAGGGGTGGGTGTGGAGGGGCTGGGTGGGGAGGGGCTGGGTGTGGAGAGGCTGAGTGGGGAGGGTGGGGATAGGTGGGGATAGGTGGGGGGTGGGAGGGGTGGGGCTGGGTGGGGGGTGGGAGGGGTGGGGCTGGGTGGGGAGGGTGGGAGTGGTGGGGCTGGGTGGGGAGATGCTGGTCACCCCGTGGTGCCCTTATAAAACTCAACGTTTAACCTACTCACGCCGGCTTGTGCCCACCCTCACAGTCGGGCATATGTGCGGGAATACACCATGCCGCCGTTGACCCTGGCCATTGACCGAGCAACCCAACGTTCCTACCAGCTCCCTCCGCAGGAATGTGTTTCTTGCGGAACGTGGACCCCTCTAATGGAACATGTGCCGGTTGTGAACATTCAGATTGCAATCCTGGGTTTAACCAGACTGGATTAGTGTGAGGAACTCACAGATTCTTCAGAGATCCGGACACAGTCCCATCGGTGAGCTACTCCGGCAAGCAAGGGTGGGTCACGTAGCCCGCATGCCCAAGCAGCTTCTGTTTGGCTAGACAGAGGGGGTTAAACGGGCGTTACATTGGATGGAAAAGACATGGAATGATGCGGTACAGGAGGATGTGGAGCTGAGTGGACTTTCCGAAGACTGGTACCAGCGGTGTCAAGATCGGCCTCTGTGGAGGAGGCTCGTGAAGAACGCTACTGGGCAGTTGGGTGCAGTCGCCCTCCAAAAACAGCGGAGGGCAGACAATCGATGCTTACAACAATGAGCAGAGTGCTGGGCGGCTAAAACGCAGCAAGTTGGCACAGGAGGGGTTCATCTCAGTCAAGCCATGACACCTGGGTCTGTCCCATGGCCTCCTGTGAGTAGTGAGGCTTCCACACTTCATGCGATGGCCTCAAAGTGCAGCTAGCTTGGCACAATCGTCATGGTAACATCACGACTTGGTGGCAAATGGTGGCTGTCGTGCGCATGCGTGTACGTGCATGTGTGTGCGTGCATGTGTGTGCGTGCAGGGCGAGGACGTTACGGACATGCCCACGGACTCGGTGACGGAGGAACAATTCACAGACGAGTTCGGCAACATTGTGACACGGAAGGTATGGGTCACTCACTCATTCGCTCGCTCATTCACGCACACTCGCTCACGCCGAGTTACAATGCCTAAACTCACTTGTCCTCTCTCTCTCTCCTCTCTCCCTCCCCGCGGCCCCCACTCCCACCCCCCTGGGACCACCCCCCACCCCTCCCTTCCCAGGTTACAAGGAAAATCATTCGAAGGATCCTGAGTCCCGAAACAGGCCCGACAACCGGAGGAGGCCTCCTGGACCCTAGCTGCCACGGCCAGCCAGGGCCAGCAGCCGCGCCGCTCACCGTGGGCTCCTCGCCCACCGTGGGCTCCTCGCCCGGCACCCAGAGGGGAGCAGCGGAGGTGAGCGACTCGGGGGGAGACGCAGCCCCAACCACGGCCGACGCGGGGGGACGGGAGAGACGCGCGGAGGGAGGAGACGACGCGCGGGAACGCCGCTCCCACGTCTACAAGAGAACCGTGGTTCACGCCGATGAGCGACACAGCGGGGTGAGGGGTGGAGGCGGCAGGGGGGTGGTTGGGGGGGGGGGTGTTCACTAATCGACCCCCCCCCCCCCACCGCGAGAGTGACCTCTTGACCCCTCCACCGGCACCGATCCACACACCGATTAATGCTGAATGCATGTGGCGTGCGGGCGCACCTATCCTGGCACGGGCAATGTGCAGATGTCACTGCCCACTGGCTTAGCGATTGGCATCTGTGTGAGTGTGTGTACGAGTGCTGAACCTGGAGCATGCTGCTCAGGGATGGGGCTTTCCTATCGGGCCCCACCAAAACTAAGCACCTGCCTCGGTATTTTTTGTCAGACCGTTCCATGAGTGATGGGGGCAGCCATGGAGAGAGTGGAGAGGTTTCTGTACCTGGGCAGTGTACTTCTGACCAGCTCCAGTTTGGCAGAGGAGGTTTCACTCCAAATGATTGAAGCGGTATTATCTTTTAAAGGGCTGCGTAACGCTGTGTGGAAGCTAACCTGGTCTTGTCGGCCACAGTCATGCCATCCCTTCTCTATGCTTGTGAAAAGTGCAGCCTGGCCCCGGTTTGAAACAATTAAGGCTGGTCTGCCTACAATCCATCCTGGGTTTAACCAGACTGGATTATGTGAAGAGCTCACAGATCCTTGAAAGATCTGGACATAGTCCCATCAATGAGCTCCTCTGGAAAGCGAGGCTGCATTGGCTGGCTTATGTAGCCCACATGCCCAGCCAGCACATGGCCAAGCAGCTTCTGTTTGGCCGGATAGAGGGGGCTAGAGAAGGGATGGACTGATGCGGTACAGGATGTGGAGCTGAGTGGACTTACCAATGACTGGTACCAGTGGTGTCAAGATTAACCTCTATAAAGATGCTCTACTGGGCAGTTGGGAGCAGCCTCCCTCCAACAACAGCAGAGGAGCGACCGCTCATAACAACGAGCAGAGCGCCGGACGGATAAAACCACAGCGAGTTGGCACAGTAGGGAACACAGGTGGCACATCCACAGTTAACCCATGGCACCCAGTCTGTCCCGTGAACTCCTCAAGAGCCTACCAACACTTCACAGGATGGCCTTAAAGTGCACCTCACCTGGCAAAAACGACACGGTGATGTCACCATGGTGGCGGAGGATGGCTGTTGCGTAACCAATGGCTGGGGGTGCCGAGGGTGTGTAGGTGCTCCTCACGGAGTGTAGCGGTGGCGAGGCGGTGCTGACGAGGGCGGTGAGCGACTCTGTGGTGACGGGCTCTCACGCCGAGCGTCGCCATGGAGACCCCACGCTCACCATGGACCTGAGCGGCGCTCACCTGGACTTCCAGCAGGTGCGCAGCTCCTCACCACTCGACTCGCTTCATTACGATACTGGCCACTCTACCATTCTACTTTGCTCTCGACGAACCCACCTTGACCTCCATGCCCCCCCCCTCACACCCCGTGCCCCCCAGGCTCTGCTGTATGCGGGGGCCCCCCCCCATGTGGGGGATGTCGACCTCCTGGAGTCGACCGAGACGGTGAACCCCGACGGGTCAACCACCACACGGTGACCACCACCACAACCACCACAACCACACGACAACTACAACCGCAACCACCAAATGGCGACCACCACAACCGCAACCACGCAACCACCACAACGCAACCACCACATGGCGACCACCACACCACAACCGCAACCACCACATGGCGACCACCACCACAAAAATCACCACACTGCATCAACCACCACCACAACAAACACCACCACAACAAACACCACAACAACCACCACCGCAATGATGGCGGATTGCAGTGAGACGCATAATTTCGATAACAATAATAGTAGTAATATAATGACACATGCACTCTCTCCCCCCTACTCCTTCCTTCACCTCCTCCGCACTCTCACTTGCTCTCGCACACACACACACACACACCCACTCGCACACTCACTCTCACTTGCTCTCGCACACACACACCCGCTCGCACACACACTCACTCTCACTCGCTCTCGCACACACACTCACTCTCGCACACACACTCGCACACACACAAACCCCCGCTCGCAGGACGCGCATGAGGAAGTCCACCTCCCGGGAACACTCGCGCACGCGCGCACCCAAGGCGAGCGCGCTGGAGCGGCCGGGAGAAGACAGCAGCGGATAGAGAACGGCTCGTGTGTCAACGGTCTCTGTACCATTGCCTCCCATCACAGCCCCCCCCCCCACCGCCTCCCACAGTCTCCCACCATCTCACACCGCCTCCCACTATCACCCACCGTCTCCCGGTCACACACATCCCAGATGGACACTTCCAAAAACCTGTCCGTGTCTCCTCCGCGTGTGTCTCCACCTCCCCGACCCGGCGCGTCTCACCGCCTCCATGTCGAGTTCACGACTGGTCGAACCACCAGGGTGAGAACTCCGAGACAGGGGTGAGTCTCATTCGCAAGAGTGAGCCGGGGGGGAGGGGAGAGGAGGGGGATCACCACAATGACAAAAGCAAAACCGATTAAGTGAAGTGCAACAATGAAAAGCAAAGGGCCATTTGCGCGGAAAAAAACGACCGTCTTCGCTCGCGGGAGAAAAGGAGGATATCGCACCGACGCAAATGCGTGTCGAGCAATGGACTCCCTTGTAGCCGCGAGGCCCCCGCCCGTTGATGCCGAGACCGATCTCGGCACAGCAACAAAGCCGCGGCTCCAGCGACGTTCACCAGGGCACACGGGGTGCGGTGGACGGGGGGCCACCGTCGGACCGACAGACGAGAGTGCGATCACTGCAGGCGCGAGTGACGTCGACAAGATTCCACAGCTCCACCTCTCCCACCCGTGTCTGCCCCCCCCCCCCCACGTCACCCCATGCATGCATGACCAAAGCAAGAGACCCCCCCTCGCACCGATCTCCAAGGAAGGAGGGGGGGGGCGGCCCTGATCCCCGCATTGCTTTTCTCTGCCCCACCACCCACACCCCCACCTTTCCGAGCATGTTTGCTATAGCATAGGGGGGGCACGGGGGGGAGGCCCGGCACCCGCTCCCCCCTTATGTTCTGCTGAGGTATCTCCTGCTGGGTATTGAGCATGCGTGCTTGCGATGGAGCTCACCTCTACTCAACTCAGCCGGTTCCAATACGGACCCCCCCCCCCCTCCACCCCCACCCCCGCTTGGACTCTGCGCTAGCCAGGGCCGTGTGGATACAAACTCGCATGGGCAGTGGGTGAAAGCGCTTGAGAGAGCCCAGCAGGACAATCGCCACCACAACCGCCACTACCACCACAGCCATTGACGCCAGCGAGAGGGGTGAGGAGTGGCCCAATTGGTAGATGTGGCAGGCAGGCAGGCAGGCTCGGCATGGGGGTGTACCCTGGTGGGATGTGCCCTCTGCCATGGGAAGGGCGAGCGAGGGGGTTGAGTGCGGGCGAGGGTGGTGGGTCCTCCCCTCTCACGTTTGAGAGTTTACTCCGGCTTTTGTCGTTAAAAAAAAAACCTTTTATTACTTACGCAAAAAATATTTAAGCCAACTCCAGCTGTAATGACTAATCGTACCGGCGATGATGAAGCTATACCCTGTAAGTACAATGACGAGGATGAATCGCTGTGGTTGCCTTCACGTAACGATGTGGCGCCCCGTGCCCAGATGCATGAGCAGCCAATTAAACTTAACGAGCTGCACCCGCTGTGTGATTGTCGTTACACATCCGCGTGTTATGGGTACACGCGTGAGTGTGTGGGTACACGCGTGAGTGTGGGTACACGCGTGTGCGTGGGTACACGCGTGAGCGTGGGTACACACGTGTGAGTGTGGGTACACGTGAGTGTGTGTGGGTACACGCGTGAGTGTGGGTACACGCGTGAGTGTGGGTACACGCGTGAGTGTGGGTACACGCGTGAGTGTGGGTACACGCGTGTGTGTGGGTACACGCGTGTGTGTGGGTACACGCGTGTGTGTGGGTACACGCGTGAGTGTGGGTACACGCGTGAGTGTGGGTACACGCGTGAGTGTGGGTACACGCGTGAGTGTGGGTACACGCGTGAGTGTGGGTACACGCGTGAGTGTGGGTACACGCGTGAGTGTGGGTACACGCGTGAGTGTGGGTACACGCGTGAGTGTGGGTACACGCGTGAGTGTGGGTACACGCGTGAGTGTGGGTACACGCGTGAGTGTGGGTACACGCGTGAGTGTGGGTACACGCGTGAGTGTGGGTACACGCGTGTGAGTGGGTACACGCGTGAGTGTGGGTACACGCGTGTGAGTGTGGGTACACGCGTGAGTGTGGGTACACGCGTGAGTGTGGGTACACGCGTGAGTGTGGGTACACGTGAGTGTGTGTGGGTACACGTGTGAGTGTGGGTACACGTGAGTGTGTGTGGGTACACGCGTGAGTGTGGGTACACGCGTGAGTGTGGGTACACGCGTGTGAGTGTGGGTACACGCGTGTGTGTGGGTACACGCGTGTGTGTGGGTACACGCGTGTGTGTGGGTACACACACGTGAGTGTGCGTACACGTGTAGAGGTGTAATTGTGCATGGCCACGGATGTTGAGGTGTAATTGTGCATGGCCACGGATGGCCAACAAACACAAGGGGCGGGGTTACGGCCGTACACAAGGGTGGCGCTCGCACCGACGTCCGCACCTGCATCCCCCACGGGCCCCCCCGGGGGCCGAGTCCTATAAAAGGTGATGAGCCGGAGGGCTCGGGGTGGGAACTCAGCTTTAACCAGAGAAGAAGGAAATCTACTAGAATAGGCCCCAGAGCTCCCCTGGCTCGCTGTCCTTATAAGGGCCGACCAGGGCAAGCCGGTGGCGTGGCCCCGAGAGCCCAGACTGACAAGCTGGTCTGGAGACTCAGGGAGCCGGGATCCCAGCTTGACCAGGGCTGGGATAGATAGCCTCCCCTAGCTCCGTAGTGGAGGAATTGGGCATAGGTTAGCGGGGTTAGCTGTTGTGTATCCCTGTAGCCAAGTGACCCGTAATTACTGTGTGTGCACAAGTTGGTGTAATAAACAAGTGTGCCTCCGATCCTGTCGTCAAGCCTCCTACATACTTACTACATCTGGCGTCAGAAGTAAAACGTTCAACGATGGACACACGAGGGACGACACGTACCAGGGAGTCGGAGATGGAAGACGCCGCGGCCGAATCACCACCAGAGATGGCCGGGGTCGGATCGGAGCAGCCGGGGCCGAGTACGCCCGCGCCGCTACGACAGGAAGGGGGGGATGCGTCGGCCGAAGGACTCCGGCTGGCTCACTCCCGCCTGGCGGAGCTGCTCTACGCCGCGGCCGCCGCGTTGGAGGAGATCACGCGGCTGGGGGCTGGAGGGGCAGCGCGGGACGACGACAGCAGCCGACGCGCGACGACGTTTCCCGCCACCCCGACGCGGCTCGCGGTTAAATTTCCCGCCATCACTACAGTGCGAGCTGAGGGCGGAGCCGGCCCGCGTCAGGTGACTGCTGAGCGCCAAGCACAAGCCGTGACATCATCAACACCGGCCAGCGCGTCAACATCAGAGCGACCGGCGATGCCATACTCACAGCCCGCCCACACTGTATCATCTGCTGGGAGCGACGGAGAGCGATCGGCAGCCACGGACGTCGCGTTACAGCAGCATCTGCCGCCTCTCAAAGAATTCGTGGGCGCCGACGGAGACTGGGGCGGCTTCAAAAGGCGGTTCATCGCTCATCAAGAAATGGCGAACTGGACGGACGCCGAGGCACTACGCGCGCTGCCGGCAATGCTGGACAACGACGCCCTGGCTACCCTCACCTCGGCGCCTAGGGAAAAGCGCGCCACACTGCACCTGGCGCTGCAGCTGCTGTCAGCCGTCTATGGGCCGCCTTCCGACTGCAGGCAGCTGTTCCACGATCGGCATCGGGGCGCCAACGAATCGCCCCTGGCCTTCCGGACGGCTCTCCTGGCCCTGGCGAAGGCAGCTTTTCCACGGATGGACGAGGAGGGAGTGGACGCCATGGTGGCTGAGAAGCTGCTGCTACTCGCTGATGAGCTGGACGTCAACGTCTTGGCTCAAGACGACGCAGAGATGTCGTCCCTGCTGGTCGCGCGCCACATCCACGGGGGCTTGCGGTCCCTGCGTCGTAAGGCGGCCAAGGGGGTGGCCGGCCATGCCATGGCGGCCACCGCCCTCCCATCGGAGGAGGTCTGCGGGGTGGAGCGGCGGGGGGAATGGAGATCGGCGGCACCACAGGCTCGGAATGGACTGAGCCGCCAGGAGCAGCCCAGGCCATCTGGGGCGCTCACACGCTGCTACAACTGTGGCCTGCAAGGCCACGTTGCGTCAGGGTGCCGGGCTCCCCGTCAGCGCGAGGCGACACCTCGTCAGGACGCCACGCCGTCTCCACCCAAGCTCCAGCAGAGAAATACGGCGAGTCGTGGCACCTCACACGTTTGGCCCATGCACACATCCGACACACACTCACGCGCTCAACTACACAGGGCTCGAAAATCGCCGCCCGTTGCGCGCGATTGTTCTGAAATGCGGCGAGCGCTCCAACCGGGTCAGTGGTCGGAGCTCGCCCATCGTGTCGTTGCTGCGTCGGCGGGATCATCGGTTGTGGTCGGTCATATTGATGGGGTAGAGGTGCGGATTTTAATTGACACAGGGGCATCGGCGACCATTATATCTGATTTGATTTATAACATCCTTCCCGTTCAAAGTCGTCCCTTGCTCCCTGTTGACGTGCCATGCTATGCTGCTAACGGGGGCTCGCTGGGCATTATTGGGCAAATCCGCGCCAAAATTTGCACTGAAGATATTAAATTATCCGGCCCTGTTTTGGTTTCCTCCTCACTCGCGGTTCCGTGCCTGTTGGGGACGGATTTCTTGGCCAAAATGCCCATCCGTATCTTGATTGACCAGGGGTGCATCGAGCTCCCATCGGGCCGACGTGTTACATTTTTGTCTTCCCCCACCACGGAGCGTCGGGCGTTTGCCACCGTGCAGGCGCTCGTGACAAAAACTGTGCGCGTACCCCCGGGAGCTCAGATGCTCGTCCCTCTTAGGTTGCGTCGGCCGTTTGCTGAAGGGGTTGCGGATCGGGGGGTCTTGTTGGGACCATCTCGAGCCGGGGTCAATGGACCCGATTTGCTAGCGGCTCAGACCATGGTGAAAGGGGATGGGGACCCCTTCATTGCAGTCCTTAATGTAGGATCGCGAACGGCCGTGGTTCCTCAAGGGACCGTGCTTGCACACGCAACGCCGGTACCCTATGAGGAACCACTCGTGGGTCAGGTAACCACCGATCCTCCGTCGCGACCGCATTCGGACTGTGATGACGGATGGCTGGATGCGCTTTGCGCGGGATCAGTGGACCTGTCCGACTCGCAGCGCGCGCAGCTGCGAGTTCTCCTGAATGAATTTGCTGACGTTTTTAGTCAACACAAATTTGATATTGGTTGTACTAAATTGCTGCGACACCATATTGACACGGGTGACAGCGCGCCAATCCGCCAAAATCCCTTTCGGTTGAGTCCCGCCGAAAAGGATCATGTCAAATCGGCTGTTGATGACATGCTGGCCGCCGATATCATTTCCCCTTCCAACAGCCCGTGGGGCGCGCCGATCGTTTTGGTGAAAAAACACGACGGCTCACTGCGGTTTTGTGTCGACTTTCGGCGCCTGAACAAAATTTCTGTGGCAGATGCGTACCCGCTTCCTCGAATGGATGAGTCGCTCGATGCCTTGGCGGGGGCGCGATTCTTTTCCACCCTCGATTTACTATCTGGATTCTGGCAGCTTCCTCTGGATGACGAATCAAAACCTAAAACTGCTTTTCGTACACCGCAAGGTCTCTTCCAATTTAACCGGTTGCCGATGGGTTTACATTCTGCGCCGGCAACTTTTCAGCGGTTAATGGAACTGGTCTTGGCAGGCTTGCAATGGGATTCGTGTTTAATTTACTTGGACGATGTCATCGTCTTTAGCAAATCCTTCGAGGAACACCTCCAGAGGTTGCGTGCTGTTTTTCTCAAAATGCGGGCTGCCAATTTAAAATTTAAACCGCAGAAGTGCCATTTGCTCCGCGAATCGGTGCGGTATTTGGGTCACATTGTTGGGCGCTCGGGGATATCCACTGATCCCGCCAAAACGGAATGCGTCAGCTCCTGGCCGACTCCCACCTCGGTGGGAGAGGTCAGGAGTTTCATTGGGTTCGCGTCGTACTATCGACGGTTTGTGGCTGACTTCGCTACGATCGCGAAACCATTGCATGCCTTGACGTCCAAGGGAGTCAGGTTTCATTGGGGGCCGGAGGAGGAAGCTGCTTTTCGCGCCCTCCGAAATGCCCTGGTGGGGGCTCTGCCGTTGAATTACCCCGATTTCTCACAACCCTTCTTGCTCGATACAGATGCAAGTAACACGGGCATCGGGGGCGTGCTGTCCCAGCTCATTGGGGGCGTAGAGCATGTGGTGGCTTACGGTAGTCGGGTACTGTCTCCAGCCGAACAACGGTACTGCGTTACCCGTCGGGAATTATTGGCAATTGTTTATTTCATTCAGCAGTACCGCCCGTATCTGTACGATCGGCGTTTCACCGTCCGTACAGATCATGCGGCCCTACAGTACGCCCTGCGGGTTCAACAACCATCGGGCCAGTTGTCTCGATGGTTGGAAATTCTCCAAGACTATGACTTTGTC